AGAGTCACCTGTGGCAGTGCTATATTCCTGCAGATCCTGGATTTACTCCCAGAATTTCTGATTTAGGAAATGTGAGGTGGAGTTTGGTAATCTGTCCTCTTAAAGATTCCCAGGTGATCCTTGGAATTTATTCCAACCCAGGTTGAACCTTTTAGTGCTTGGAGGTAAAGAAATCTGGATGTTTGGGTTCTACCAAAAGTAACTTTTCTTGTCTTCTTTGTCCATATTGGAGTGGAAATGACTGCTAATACTGTGACTGTTGGGGATGGGGCCGTCGAGGGGGAGGCAGCAGTGAGATGAGATGCAGGGGCTGGTCTGCGTTTAGGCCTGATCCAGTTCAGAGAATAGTCTGAGCTGCATGCAACTGAGTCCACACCACTTAGAGCTTCCTCTCATGAGGTGAGAGATGCCACCATAAGAGGTGTGGGAGCATTTTGAAGTTAAGAACTTTTAAAGAAGTCGAGCTAAGGGACTTAACATTTCTTCAACTAAGTTTTCGGTTTAGACATGAACAATAATGATATGTAATATGTATATATTTTTTAATCCTCACATGAGGATATTTTTTCTATTGCTTTTCAGGGAGAGAGAGAGAAACATCGATGTGAGAGAGACACATTGATTGGTTGCCTCCTGCAGTCTCCCCGACTGGGGCTGGGGACCAAGCCTGCAACTGAGTATGTGCCCTTAGGGCGGCACTAAACCTGGGACCCTTACAGTCCACAGGCTGACGCTCTAACCACTGAGCCAAACCAACTAGGAAGATGTGTAATACTTTATACGGCTTTTTAAACTGCAAAGGGTTCTCTTGTTCTTTAATTTCTAAGCTAGCTCAGGAACCACGGGAACTAAATTAGTACTTACAGCTACTCCTCCTTAGCTTCCAGGCCAGAACCAAGCTGTGCTCGAACGCAAGGACCGATTACAACCGCAGCGAGCAAGGCGGCTTGTTAGTAAATACGCTGGAGTGAGCCGATGCCCTGCCAGAGCCGCATGTTTATACTTCACCCACGGACCACTGGGGGAAGAAAGCCTGCCTGTTAATAAGCCAGCGATGTGACTAATGGCAGTCCTGGCCCAGCCTGGACAGTAGGGGCTCACAGAGTCAAACACGTCTCACTTTCGGCTCTCTCTCAGCTTGAAAGCTTTAGAAAGCATTTCCAACAGAGGGCCTCAGGGATTTTGGTACAAAAATGCCAAAAAACCTCAAGTACAGTGGTATGTTTATAAAAATACAGGGGCCCCGGTCCCGCCTAAGAGAGGTCAGGGAAATGCATTTGTTTAACCTCACAGAAGTTCTTGACCAGAGATTTTGACTCGATGTAATCTACATCCGTAGCAATTCTATAATTGAGTAAGCAGTCATTTATTACGGAAGCTCTGAGTGTGTTTCCAGGCGGCTCTAGCTGGGTTCTCTCTCTCTGGCTCCTTTTTTGTGGACGGTGACTGGAGGCTTTGGCCGAACTTCCTTCTTCAGGGAGGATTTTCAATGCGTTGCTCACCTGCTGCAAGGGGATGTCAAGCAGCAGAATCCCCATGAGCAGACCCTTTATGTGTGGGTGGGGGTGTGGGTGCCATAGCAACAGTGCCCCTGGGTAGACCCCCTTTCCTCCCCCTGCCCCAAGACTCTGCTTGGGAAGGAGGAGCCGGCAGGAGGGGCCGGCCTGGAGCTGGGGTCTCAGGAGCCTAGGAGGGAACCGCAGGGCCCAAGGCAAAGAGCCCGTGGGCTCCGGGGTTCCCCACGTGACTCCTGCATGTGGTGTTTGTCTGCACCACAGAGATGGGGGTAAGGTCGGAGGACAGACCAGTTCCGGGGTGTGGCAGCACCTCTGTAATCTCGTCAGACCCCTGATTTAAAAACCATCCATATGCCAGTGAACCTCAAACCGGCGCCTCCCGGTTTACCTGCCCTGCCCTCTGGATTGCTGTCCTAGCTGCCCACTGACACCTCCGGCAGGAGTGCCTGCAAGGCATCTCAGAGTTGAATCTCCCCAACCCGCTCCACTTCATTATTATGCCCATGCCTTCAATAAAGACAAAACTATTGGAACACTCATTGATTCTCCTCTGTCCCTCCTCCCTCCACATTAATTTGCCAGCTAGTCCTGGTGACTGGAACTCCAAGACGCACTGCGAAGGCACAAACCTCTCCTCAGCTCTACTACGCCCCTCCCCGGGCCACAGCAGCAACCTCCTGGCTGTGGGCTCCCTTGGAATGGTCTCGCGAAACAGATCATCATACCCCTCATTAGGTGAAGTGGTTGGCAATCAAAGTCTTGCTTAGCTGGGTTGAAGAGAAATTAAGTGTGGGGAAGCAGCTAACTCTTGGAGAGTTTTCTTTGCAAGGCAAATGTGGGTTGGAAGGAATGTGTTTTTCTAAGGTGAGATGGTGAAGCATATTTGTTTGCTGATGGTGTGACCCAGGAGAAAGGGAGCACAAGGTGATGCAGGGGCGAGGGGAGGCTGGCTGGGGCTGTCCTCTTTGGTGTCCCAGCATGTGCAGCTCATCCACAGTCACAGGAGGGAGGGATCTGAGTGTCCACTCCACAGGTGGGCTTTATTTTATTTTTTAAGTATAGTTGGTATACAATATTATATTGGTTATATTAGTTTCAGGTATAAAATATAGTGATTTGACATTTTTATACCTTATAATGTGATCACTCTACTAATTCTCGTAATCACCCATCACCGTGCAAACTTATTACAATATTATTGACTATGTTCCCATTCACCTGTTCACCCATCCCCCACCCACTGCCCTCTGGTACCCATCCCTTTGGTCTCTGTTTCTATGAGTCTATTTTCGCTTTGTTTGTTCATTTCTTCTGTATGTGTATTTATTTTAGATTCCACTTATAAGTGAAACCCTGTGATATTTGTCTTTCTCTGCCTGACCTAACTTCATCTAACATAACACCCTCTAGATTCATCCATGTTGTCACAAATGCCAAGATTTTGTTCTTTTTTATTGCCATGTAATATTCCATTGTGTGTATATGTGTATATATATACCAAACCTTCTTTCTCATCTATCGATGGACATTAGGTTGCTTCCATATCTTGGCTATTGTAAATAACGCTACAGCGAGCATAGGAGTGCATACATCTTCTTGAATTAGTGTTCTTATTTTCTTTGGATAAATACCCAGAAGTGGAATTGCTGGTAGGCTTCAGATAGATGGGCTGATGCACTGGCCCGAGCTCACCCCTTTTCTCTCAGTGAAGTAGGGAGAAAGGTCATCAGCTGACAATGGGAAGGTTAAGGGGGTGGAAGAAGTTGGTCTGGGGACATGTGCCTTCCTTCTGAGCACACCATGGACCTTGACCAGCTCTCCTCTCTGCCTGGTATGCTCTTACGTAGGATTTCTCACATGGCTGGCGACTTTGTGACATTCAGATCTTAACTTAAATGTCACCTCAGAGAGGCTGCCCCTGGCCTCAGAATCTAAAATAGCCACTCTGTCACTCACAATCACATCACCCTATTTTAATTCTCTGATTAGCACTTATCACTATGAGATATTTAGCTTAATTTTTTACTTATTTACATGTTTATTGCTGTATGTTTTATTAGAGATCACAGCACACACTGGGCTTTGAACAGATAGAAAAATCTTAATGAATAAGCATGAGAAATTCCTTTTCCTTCAGGAAAAAATAAAAATGTGTCACGATGGAATACAGTAGAACCCAATTTGGGTGTACAAACCTGAATAGGCCTGGAACTGAATCTGTGTGTGTGTGTGTGTGTGTGTGTGTGTGTGTGTGTGTGTGTGTGTGTGTGTGTGTGTGTGTTTGTGGCGGTAGGGTGTATTAGCAGCCAACTCAAGTCACAAGTGGTCTGTACTCTCCTAGGCAAACAGAAGATCTCCAAGTCCTCAAGTCCACTCAGCACTTACTTGAACTTTGCCCCAGCCTTCCTATGCCTGGCACCAGTGAATTTGGACATAGTTAGAGGTTTAGATACCGTTAGTGAATATTATGTAAATATCTAAACTGCGCGTATCAAGAAAGACCTTTAAAATGGGGAAGTGGAGAGGCCAGGCTCTACTCTTTAAGCCTTAAATAGATGTGTGAACTGGGCCTAAAATCCCTGCTGGCTCTGCAGCCAGAGTCTGAAGCCAGTCTGGCTGAAAACAGGAAGTCTGTCAGCCTAGGGGCAAATGCAAACACAGTTTCAAAAGTCTGAAACAGCCTCCTTTTGTCTTAAGGTTTATATTATGATTCCTCTACGAAAATCCTAATGCTTCTAGGGAAAGATTCTAATTTGCCACAAAAAAAATTTCCTATGTAATCGTTAAAAAGAAAACAAACAAAAAGACCCTCGTTTAAAATAATACATGGAGATGTAGGTCTGTCCTGTACATGTGTTTCTTCCCTGAATCTCTAGCGATAGTAGTGAAGTGCTGAGTTGTCCAGAATTGAACCATACATCATTCTTTAAAAGAATAAGGGAGGAAGTGATTGTATATATATAGCCAAGTAGCCCAAGACCACTCATCCTCCCATGGTCAGGAAATACTAAAATAGTGAACAAACTTCAGGAAGGAAAAGAATTTTCTAAGCAGCGATTTGGCCCACCCCTTCAGGTAAAGGCGTGGATACTCAAACCTCCCATCACCTTGCTGGCAAATTCTGTAAATTTGAGGAACCAAACCCAGATTAATGAAAGCTAAGATTATTAGTAGATGTTTCAGACAGTTTCTTGTTCCACCCATAAACAATGAGCTCCTGTAGGTAAGATGCCATGCTATTAGGGGCCCTATGATTAGCGATGTTTCCTGTTGACTTCTCCAAGAGACATTAGTGTTCCTCAAGAACTACCAGAGACCTGCGGGGGGCGGGGGTGGGGGGGACTTAATTGGTTGTCCACATTTTTTTCCAGATTTGTGAAATCACATCATTGATTGACCCATAAATTACAAACCATATAATCTGCTGGGTGGATAGAGTTCTGGACTACAGTGTTTTCTGTTTTGTTTTTGTTTTTTATTTAGGCTGGAGGAGAAAAAATAGATCCAGAAGAGGCACTGATCTATGAAGAAGATTTAGAGGAAGGAGATGGTGTTGAAGGCGAGACGGAAGAAAGCACGAAATTAAAAATCTTCCGCAGGCTCGCCTTTGTGGCTTCCAAGCTTAAGGAGTTTATTGGCAACATGATAACCACCGCTGGAAAAGTAGTTGTGACGATCTTACTCGGTTCATCAGGTGAGTTTCCAGTCCTGGGTGGAGTGCAAATGACCCTTTGGCGAATCATGAAATAGTTGAAGAGAAAATAAAGAAGGAAATAATTCTATTCCATGACACCAATATAATAGCTTTTGTAACAGAGGCCACATGTACAAACCACACACACACAAATAATTTTTCCTGTGCAGTTCTAGTTTTTATATTTTCAGATGGTTTCTGTTAACCTCTATAAAGCAGTCTTTTTTCATATCTGTTAAGTGATGTCATTTTCTATGTGTAGATCAGAAAAACAACTATTCTTCCTCAGAGCCTGTGAATGGTGACCCGCCACAATGAATAACTTTAGTGTGCCCATCAGAGCTACACAGGTGCATTCTGAGAGCATGTCTGTTTCCGCTGATTCATTAGTAATCATAATTTAACTCTCCAGAATTTACTGTTTTTCTTCCTAAGTTAGATTGTAATCTTCCAGCACAGACATTCACTTCCTTTAAATTTTGTCTATGGACTGCTTATACCATAATTATGTTATCTCAGTCTTTTCCCCCTTCCATTTTGCTGTTCACCAATGCTTCAGAGATACTGAGAAGTTTACTCAATACTGCCTAGTTGAAATTTCACAAGATGAAACAGCTTAAGTGTTTTTTAGTAGGAAAATTAAAAAGTGGGAAAAAGAATAGAATTTCTCAAGATGTATAACCCAATATTTCAATGAGTCATTTCAAAGTGCCCCCCACCCTAAGACTTTTTAAATGCCTGTAAAGGAATTGCCTCATTTTTCATTTCCCTTTTTGGTGATAGTGAAAATCAGATTTTGTCGGGTAGGACAATGTTTTAGTGAGACCTTAACTGCCACCAAATATAATATTATTATGAATCCTAGTTAACTACAAAAAAAAAAAAGGTAAATCATTATTATAAAAGTGGTTTCAGGGAAAGTTGGAATGGACATACAGCATTCCTGAACATTTTTAGGGAGAAATAGAAAATGGAAACACGCAGGTAAACATGCTGAATTCTTCTGGTATGAAAATTAGATGTTTACTCTGTTCAAATACCATAGGTAGAATTTCTTTCTCATCTGGTATTTCCCCATATTTTTAAATATCACTTTAGGTGTGACTTTTTTGATAATAGCATTAATTCTGACTTTATAAATAAAATGTAATTATTTTAAAAACCCGATCAATATCTAAAAGCCCGTGGAGGAAATTTATCTAATCTCTAGTACTTGCAGTTACTGAGTGGCAGGTGATTTTCCAGTTCTGCGTTTTTCATGGTCACATTTCTCCTTCCTTAGGTATGATGCTGCCGTCCTTGACCTCCTCCGTCTACTTTTTTGTATTCTTGGGTCTGTGCACCTGGTGGTCCTGGTGCCGGACGTTCGATCCATTGCTGTTCAGCTGTCTCTGTGTTCTCCTGGCTATTTTCACCGCGGGACACTTGATTGGACTTTATTTATACCAGTTCCAATTCTTTCAAGAAGCAGTTCCACCCAATGACTACTATGCAAGGTAAGAGAAGAGAAATCATTAAGATATTTCAAGGGGAGGTGACCCCTCCTTTATGATCTTGCTTGAATTTGCAGGGGCTCTTCTTGATGCCATTGATGTGTTAAGCAAAGGGTTGATGGGGATGGGGAGGCACTCTAGTATGTTAAATTTATTGAATGACACAGTCTAGAAGGTAGTAGATGGTCCATTCAGATGGAGGTGCTGCTGGGACAGGAAAGAGGGAAGCTGCTGTTTGTAGCAAGCGAGACAGATACATGGCCTCAGCTGTGGAAGGAGATCCAGGAAGAACATTTCATATCAAAGAATAATGATGACGTGTTAAAACATCCAGCTGGAAGGAGCTCTCATGGGCCACGTAGAGGACATATTGAGAATTAATCAATGAATCAACCAATAATTGATTGTAAAAATTTAAAAATAAAGATACATGAGTCCATGCTGAGAGAGAGAGAAATCTAATTTGCTTCAAATAAAGATGACTATTACACACACTCCTTACTATGAAAATGGGACTTAACGATAAAGAATCCAGCATTTACTTTGACTTTTTGGAGGAACTCTAGGCCATTCTCAGCTAATGAGGGAAAACAACTCTTTCCAGAATAGCGCTCACTAACAAAAGGGAAAGGAATAATAGAATTAGAAAAATACCACTTGTCAGTTCTTAATGACGTACTTGTTTCTAGGCCCAAACTAAAACCTTTACTTAAAAAGGTTCTTGGAGTGAAGAATGTTTACAATAATGACAAAGTATATTTTCACTAATTATTTGCTATTGCAAAGGAAAAAAATCAAACCTTTACAATGGTGGTCAACCCCTAATCAACCGATCAAAAATGACATTGACAAAAATGGTGCAGCTCAACATTTTATACTTCTAGATGTGATGTAATGTGAAGTATACAGCATCATATTGTTAAGCCTTTAAACCTAACCTCCAATTTACAGAAAATATAAAAGATAGAAAAGTAATTTAAATGACTCCACAGGGAAACAGAAAACTCCAGAAGGTGGATTCTACAGGCAAATGACCGGGTCTTTTGTAAACTCAACACAAATGTGACTCTAGATCACATCCTGCTTCAAAGACAAATCTCTAAGAGACATTTTGAGGTTGAATGGGAAATTTCAATATTCACTGATTATTAGATGATGGTATAGAATTTTTGTTAATTCTTAGGTGCATGATTGTATTGTGGATTCACAGGAAAATGTCATTATTTTAGGAGCTACATAGTAAATTATTTAGGGATCAAGTGTCATGATTTCTGCAACTTTCTACTGGTTTAGCAACAAACACAGGGAGAGGAGAGGGAGAGAGAGAAATAAAATTATTTAAACTAGGCGATTGTCATTGGAGTATTCATTGTCCTATTTTAAATTGTCTTTTTGTGTGGAAAAGTTCACAATTAAAAGTCACAGGAAAAAGAAAAGGGAACAGAGGAGGTAGGAGAGAATGTCAGAGTGAGGTGGAAACTGCCAGAATTCTTCCTTCTGATATGCCTCTGGAAAGCGGTATAGGCACTTACGTGAAGTGAGTCAGACAGAGAAAGAAATGCTGTATGGTGTCACATATGTGGAATCTAAACAGAAAAGTCGAGGAAGCAGAGAGCAGAATGGTGATTACCAGGGCAGTGGGGTGGGGGAAACAGGGAGAGGCTGGTGAATGAGCTCACACTCAGTTACAGGAGCGTAAGCTCTGAAGATCTAATGTACAGCAGGGCCATTATAGTCAATAATACTGTATCGTATACCTGAAATTTGCTAAAGGAGTACATCTGAGATATCCTCACACACCAAAGAGCTATGTAAGGTGGTGATTGATGTTAATTAACTTGATCGAGGTAATCATTCCACAATGTATACTTACATCACATCATCAAATGGTACACTTTAAATATATTGTGATTTTATGTGTCAGTTGTGCTTCAGTAGAGAAGCCCCTTTAATGGTGCAGATTTACATAACATTTGTTTTAGGCAGGAGTGAAAAAATGCCAAATTTCAGTATAGACATTAGTTCTAGACTAAATGAATCCTTTGATTTCTTTAGATGTTTAATTTTTGGTTTATTAATAGAACACACAGAAGTAAATGCTTTGTGCTATTGGAAGGGCTGACTTTTAGGGGATGACTTAATTGGAAATGTAAATATCTTCTATCGGGCAGCAGTGCCCGGCTACCCCACCCCAGTGGACCCCACTTCGAGAATCTTTTCTGCCATCTAGAGACTGATGATAAGAAATGCAAAGAACATTTAAGATCTCCTTGAAAACGTTTTTTTCTATAAAGGATCAGTTAGTAAATATTTTATGACTTTTCAGGCCTATGGTCGCTGTTGCAGTTCTTTCAAGAAGGCACTGTAGTGCAAAAGCAGCCATGGCTAAGATTTCAAAGAATGAGTGTGGCCATGTTCCAGGAAAACTTTGGTTGTGGACACCAAAATTTTAATTTTATATTATTTTTACATTTCATAAAATATTATTTTTCTTTTGATTTTTTTCAAACCACTTAAAAATGTAAAACACATTATGAGCTCACAAGCTGTATCCAAAAAGGTGGTGAACCAGACCAGGCTTGCCAACCCATGGCGTAGATCATTTCAGTCCTACTAGTGTAATAATTTATATTTAGTTTTCATTTGAATTGTCACAAACTTAAAATTATAATATAACTTATTATAGACATTTTGCAGATAATCCTTTTAAATAGTTTTAAAGGTCCATTACTGTAACCTCATAGAGTAAATCATTGAAGTTAGGTTGCTGAGCAGGGTATGGACAGTTTGAGCTACACAGTGCAATATACAAGAATATATAAACTGCCTTGTTGTAGATTCTTTCCCCCATTAACTTGGTCATAATAAGATATTGCATCTTAGTTCTAGAAAGCTTGGAAATTTACATTTTTAAAACAATAACTTTTTATAAGGCATAATTTTCATGCATTGTTATTAACCCCGAATTCTGAGTTGGAAGAAAAATTGCAAAAATAAAAAGTTATTTTCTGTGGGTGTCTGTCACAAATTTCATAACCATAAATACTCCAGCCTATATGCAGCAATAGATGTGGCGGACCTCTTAAAATAATCCAAGCGTTTTCATCAACTCATGAGCATTCAGATAGGCCCTCTGGTATGATTTATCCTTATTTTTAGAAAAATTGAATTGATTTGTTCATCATTAGTATAATACATGTTTGTTGATGATTATTTGGAAAAATAAAATGAGGAATAAAGATAAATGAATTTTTAAAAATATAATCCTAACTCCCAGAAATAAGCACTTTATCTTTCGTATATATTCTTCCAGTATTTTTTGTATGCATATATGTGTTTGTTTGTTTAAAAAACAACAACTTTGAATCATAATGTCCATACTCTTTTATAACTTGCTTTACTCAAGTATTGCATTCGCATTTTCCCATGTTATGAAATGTTCTTCTAACGTGATTTTCATAGCCTGCAGAGTGTTTGATGGTGTGGCTCTTATAATTTAGTAAACCCTTGACTTTTGACCATGTAGATTTAGATTGTTCTTCGTTTTTGCTCCTTGAGTAATGCTGTAATGAGCACCCTCATTATTTCTGAATTTAAGAAATACTCATGATGCACAAAATGCAGCCCCTGGTTTTCTCGGTGGTGAAAGAGCCTCTCCAGGGCTGTGTGGTGCTTGCTTCTGCTGGAGGATCTCCAGGCTTCAGTGATCCTGGGCCAACATTATGATAATTTCCTGGTTTGTGATTCCCTCGCCATGCAGGTGCCATAAATTGAAATCCCAGACCTAGGTGATGTTGAGAGGATTATGCTAAGGTTTGAAAGTGCATTCTCTGGAGCTTGACAGCTCAGAATTGGATGTTGGCCCTGCTGCTTTCTAGACGGAGCACCTGGGGGCAACCTGACCCAACACTCCGTGCTTGTGTTTTCTCATCTACAAAATAGAGATTAAAATAGTGCCTTTCTCAAAGCAGAGTGAGTGTTGTATTAAATGGGAGAATACATATCCGGAGCTTGGCAACGTGGGGCGATTATTCAAAAGGGACTGATTTTATTGTTGTAGTCGTCATGTTAACACACATAAAATATTTTCCTTACTTAGACTCACTCCCTCATGTCTAAAAACGGGAGCCTCCTCTGGCACCGCACGGGGCCCGGGTAGTCCCTGAGCACGCTGAATAAGCTCCTCTACCCCTGCTGCTTTCCCTGGAAACGCCCCCCCTCTCCTTCCTCATCTTGGTTGCCCCTGCTTTTTTCCCAGAGTCTAGCATGAGCACCTCCTTCTGAAGCCTTCCGTGCTTCCCTGTGAGGAAGGGAATGTATCTCTGGGCAGTGACCCTCTGCAGACTTGCTTCCTCGCGCTTGCTGCAGTGGGCCGCAGTAACCTGTTTATTATGTACCTCCCCACCAGGTTCCCGTCGAGACACCGGCACTCTCGGGCTCTGCCACTGCTCATCACACAGTGGACTTTCAGGGAATCGCTGTCCAAGCTCGTTTTCTTTCTCTGTCTCCTAAGAATCCTTGCGTTTTATCTATTTGCATATCAAAATAATGTAAACTTGTTTAGGTTTTTCCTGAACTCTCAGTCCCAGAATCACTGCCAATTTTAATGCAGTCTCACTGCCACACTCTGTGGTACGTGTCCTCCAGTTATTAAATATCCAGTTGGGCGAGAAATGGAAGAGGCTATGGTGTATGTGGTTCATTAAGTGTGATGCTGGCAAATATTTAGCTTCACTTGAGACAAATGATGGTTTTAAACTTATTTATTTAGAAAACTCTAGAATAGTTTTATCCCCGATGGTTAAAATAAACATGGTTAAACTAGTAAGTAGCTTTCAGTTTCGTGGGAATTAGAGATTTTCATTCATATTCAGTGTCTCTCTGGGACCAGGTTTACTTCTTACTGTTGAGAAATTTTGGGTAATGATTCTTAATTTGGGGGACCTGGTGTTAAAAATAGGGCTATTATCCCTGCTCTAGGGTGCTGTGGTGAATATTGATGA